GAAGCTTTCGTCCATTTGGAAGGCAAGACAAAGTATGCAGCTAGTGAAGTCATAGTGGCAGCAAGATCTATGGCACCGACTCGCTGTGCAGTCGCCGTTGCCAATATGTGCATTAAAATCTTAGGCCTGAATTACATTATACATTATGGGATTAGTGAATCTGGGGACAGGGTTATAAAACTCATCTTTACTGTCTATGTAAGCTATCATTAGGTGAGCAGTCAATAACAACATAAAGCACTAAAGTTCCACTCAACTGGATAACTTGGAGCTTATCTTTCAAACTCTCCTGCAATTCCACCCCTCCCAGTAATATGTCACAAGGAAGGAAGCTTTCCCTTTTTCTTGTTGTTAATATCATCTGCTACCTTTCCAAGGGCTGAGCAATAAATTATTTTTACCATCCCAAACTAGGCTCCTGAGTTACTTCAGACTTGTCCTCCCTAGGGACAAGTTCACACTGTACATGTGTGTTCGTCATTTGATGACTGAAGCATCACACAGGCGATTTGTATCTGCAAACAAGCTAGGTAAAGGGTAAAGGGACCCCTGACCATTAGGTCTAGTCGTGACCGGCTCTGGGGTTGCGGCGCTCATCTCGCTTTACTGGCCGAGGGAGCTGGCATACAGCTTCCGGGTCATGTGGCCAGCATGACTAAACTGCTTCTGGCGAACCAGAGCAGCGCACAGAAATGCCGTTTACCTTCCCGCCGGAGCGGTACCTATTTATCTACTTGCAGTTTGACGTGCTTTCAAACTGCTAGGTTGGCAGGAGCAGGGACCGAGCAACGGGAGCTCACCCCGTCGCAGGGATTCGAACCGCCGACCTTCTGATTGGCAAGTCCTAGGCTCTGTGGTTTAACCCACAGCACCACCCATGCAAACAAGCTATCACTCATCTTATCCATCCATCCATCCAAAAATACAGTCAGCATAAAATAATCACTGAGTGCCCAACCAGTAGTATAGGTGGTCGCAGACACCATGGGTTTGAAGACAGCTATTTCTCAAGTAGCTTGGCTCATCAGATTAGACAGGGGAAATACTGTGGAACTGCATGCATCTGCTAGTACGAAGCATTCCTACACGCTGCAATGGACTTGTGACGCAGTTGCTAGCTACCACTGCTCCAAGCAATGTGAGCTTGAGAGTGGGGTTATGTAGAAAACAGAAATAGCCTGCTTATCTCAAGTCATCCTTTGGGAATTCACTGGATAAGCATCCCCCGCTCCCTCACAACAAAATTAAAAGGATATAAAATTGCCCAGTGGGGGGAAAAAAGGTGATATTTCAGCTCTCGTTAATTGTGGGATAAGAATCAAATATGTGAGTTAAAAATATCATCTAGGTTCATCAGCTTCTAAGCACACCTGCTGTTCTCCATTTCAGTCTCAAACATTTCCAGGTCAGAAAGGTGAATAATTATTAGAGAAGATAAACCAGAATTATAAAGGCATTGAACTGACTGTTTTTAATAGGTTCTTACCAATTAACTGTCACTCCGGGGAATACATTCTATTTCAGAGGAGAATTTATCACTAAAAGAAATGTTAACAACAATTATTCCACGTCCAATTGGAACATTAGCCCTAGAAACAGACGGGATCATTCCTTCAAGTCTGCCAACGATTTTGCAAATGACACTGGCCCTTTAACAGATGGGACGCATACTTCTTAGCTTGCCAGGATCCTAATAAAAGACATTGGCTCCTGTAAATGAAGGACACATACCTCTCAAATTGCCAGCATCCAAATGGGGAGTTAGAAGTTGAAAATAAAGGAGGACCCAGGCTAGCAGTACTAGGCATATGTTACAGAAATTTCAGTACCACCGGTGCAAACCTTGGCCAAATACTAATTAATTTGTAAAAACCACTTATGTACATTCAGGATAAAGTTCCATTTCTACTAGACAGACTGTCAGTTGTGCCATAACAGAAACTGGGGGGAGGTAGTGTTTCGCTTTTCAGTTTGTTTGGCACGGCTGCTGATTTTGTGATTGTCAGATATTGTTAGAAGATTTCATCATTCTAGAAAGCTTTGATCACATTTTTATGTAGAAAATCATGTTATAAACAAACTATAATGAAACAATTTGCTGCACTGAGCAACCAGAACTAATTAACAGAATTAATTTTGTTCATTGCTGGGTGATGTGGTCTTGTATTTTATGACATTTAAAGGATTTTCATTGTTTTTCTTATGAGTTGGCAGTTTATAGATGCCCCAACAAACAAACAAACAAACAAACAAAACAAACAAACAAACAATAACCATTAGCCTTCTGGTCACAAGTTGTGACCCACCAAGCCAAATGATGTCCGTAAGCCATGCACCACAAACTTACCTTTTCTTGATCCCTGGAAGATCAGGGCTCTAAATCACACATGGAGCCTAAATGTTTACAGCTGGCTCCCGGCTGCAAATGTTACCTTCACAACACATAAAAAGTGATGCGACAAAGGAGGCAGGGTCATTCCACCTGCTTGCATGAATGCAATTGTGTGACGAGGAACACCTGAGGAAGTTTTAAGTATTTACCTGTACTTGGGATCTGTCTCCCTCCCCCACCACCTCTTTCAGTGCAGAAACAGATACAGCTTGAATTATGAAGGGAAGAGATGGGGGTGGGGGTCTCTAATTAAATCCACAAACCCACCCCTTATCTCCACCCATTAATTATCTTTCAGAGACAGAAGCTAAGCAGGCCAGTGCAAAAGGTTGGGGGAGAACTCACTTTGGGCAGGTTCAAGGAAATCCTAGGTACAGCTGTGGCAGGACAGACTGTAGTGCAGGCACATAGGCAAACTCGGTCCTCCAGATGTTTTGGGACTACAACTCCCATGATCCCTAGCTAACAGAACTAGTGGCCAGGGATGATGGGAATTGTAGTCTCAAAACATCTGGAGCATCGAGTTTGCCTATGCCTGCTCTAGTGATTTGCAAAGAGGATGTTCAATGCACACAGGGTTCAGACATGACTGGTTAGGGCCAGAGTTAAGGAAGGTAAATTCCAGCTGAAGTCAATGAAGAATGTCATATGGTTGCTTTCCTTCCAACCTAGCCAACTCGTTGTGCTGTTTGAGAGCCAAAATAATCTGTCCAGAGTGACTGACCTGCAAACAGGTATTTGCCTGAAACCATCAACTTTGGTCATGCTGTTTCTGCATGGAACCCTTAACCAGTTTGTTTCTGGCTGTTCTGGGAGAAGGGAACATAGAGGTACCACTACTCAGCGTGTTTCCCAACCATCTCCAAGTTACTCCCCCGCTGCCCGCTTGAGTTGACATGCCAGAGCGTCCAACCTAGAGATGGCTGCACAGTTATGGTTCACGATATGGGTTGACCGAAATGAACAGGGGACCTGAGAGTGAGAAGAAGTCTTCCTCTTTTCCAGGGATGTTAGGCATCAAGCACAGGCCTTGTCACTAGTACGGTGAAACGTGCTAATAATGGATACAAGGAAACAAAGGCAGTGTGTAGTGCAGGCTTCCTCAACCTCGGCCCTCCAGCTGTTTTAGGACTACAACTCCCATGATCCCTAGCTAACAGAACCAGTGGTCAAGGATGATGGGAATTGTAGTCTCAAAACATCTGGAGGGCCGAGGTTGAGGAAGCCTGGTGTAGTGTGTGGTGGACATGTAAAAAGGTAAAAGCTTACTGGGAAATGATACATAATGAGTTAAAGAGGAGGGCAACCAGAGGAGGGCAACCAAAATGGTCAAAGGCCTGGAAACGATGCCTTATGAGGAACGGCTAAGGGAGCTGGGCATGTTTAGCCTGGAGAAGAGGAGGTTAAGGGGTGATATGATAGCCATGTTCAAATATATAAAAGGATGTCATATAGAGGAGGGAGAAAGGTTGTTTTCTGCTGCTCCAGAGAAGCGGACACGGAGCAATGGATCCAAACTACAAGAAAGAAGATTCCACCTAAACATTAGGAAGAACTTCCTGACAGTAAGAGCTGTTCGACAGTGGAATTTGCTGTCAAGGAGTGTGGTGGAGTCTCCTTCTTTGGAGGTCTTTAAGCAGAGGCTTGACAACCATATGTCAGGAGTGCTCTGATGGTGTTTCCTGCTTGGCAGGGGGTTGGACTCGATGGCCCTTGTGGTCTCTTCCAACTCTATGATTCTATGATTCTAAGAAAATGTATAAAAACACTTTTGTTAAAAAGAACCGGAAGCATTTTCATTGGTCCAGTGGGGGAAGAGATACCAAAGGGAGAAAAAAAATATTTATGTATACAACAACTGCAGCAAGAATCCTTTTAGCCTAGAGTGGCTGGGGAAACCCAGCCAGATGGGCAGGGTATAAATAATAAATTATTATTATTATTATTATTATTATTATTATTATTATTATTATTATTGGAAACAACAAGAAATACCAACGAAAGGAGAGTGGCAGATGAAGATGATGGACTTTGAGGAAATGTTGAAGCTGATAGGGAAACGACCAGCACAATCAAGTATTCCAAAAAGACTGGAGGAAACTTATACAATATTTGAAGGACCACTGTGAGCAATTAACAACACTAGCAGGGTTGTGAGAAGACTTACAATGATAATTGTTCTTACCTTTCTATATTTATTCAAAAATTGTGACATTCTGAATGAGTGAAACGTAAGTTGGAGAATGCATAAATGCTATGATATCAAGTTTAACTCTGAAAACCAAGAGGCGGGAGGAAGGGGAGTCGAAGCTCGTAAGAGGAAAAGAAGTTAGGTGGATAATGGTGATGTGTTTAAATATTATAAAATGGAAACTCAGTAAAAATATTATAAAAAACAAACAAAACCAGTGTGTAGCGAAACAAAGTGAGGTTTGCTGTGGCTCAAGAGTCTGGCAAAAGACTGAGGAGAGCTAAACAACATGGAAGAGAGGAATGACTGACACACTGGTTGCAGGATGACTGGGGTGCTATGGAAGCTGCATCTGCTCTGGCTTCTCGGCCATCTTCAGTGAACACCGGACAAAATATACCTGTCGCTCAGACTCACCTCTCCCTCTCCTCCTTCATCTTTTCCAGGTCCTCTTCTCTGAGGGTGCCATGCTTGGAGTTTCCCTTCTGATCACCTTTGGCACCTTTCTCTTCTTTTTTCTTGCCAAACCTAATCAGGAGAGGTGAGATTAAAGGAGGCTTAGAAACAGGAGGGAAAGTGGGCATAAACCCAAACCCACATGATTTCAACAAGTACAGTATAATGTGGTTCTGCTTCTGCTACAAGTTGGATCCTCCTAACCAGTGGAGGACCCTGAAACTCTTCCCCAAACCGGCTTGTGAGTGGGGCTTGCCCCGCTCCAAGCCGGTGGTGCCACAGTTATGCCACTGGCATTTAGCCAGTTGGCATCATGGCAAAGGTTGGGGGTATCTATTTGGCAGCGCGACATAGGGACCTCCTTTTGCTTCGCGCTGCCGACCACCCGGCCACCCACCCGTTAATTAGGTCGTGTTTGGCCTTGCTTTGGACTTCGGTTGGTCGCCTGTTTTGGAACAGGGGCCGGGTAGGAATTTTTTCCAATGTGGCAGACTGGCTGTGGCCACTTGGTCTTTGCCTACCTCTTAGCAATCGTCACAACTTTAAGGTTTGGCGGTTAGGCATTGGTTTAGGGGAATGTGGGGAGGGGAGGTGCGGCCATCACCTGCCCCTCCAATGAATAGGGTATTCCGTTAAAGGAATCCGGGGGTCTGGATCCCGTCTGAAGCCCGGAGAGGGGCTAGGGCCATGCCCGGACCCCCGGGAACCCCAGGGGTGAGCACCAGTCAATATACACTGACAGAGATCCCCCTGCTGGTTGTTCACCCTTACAGGGTTCCTACAGGGTGGGACAGGAGCCAGATATCGTTTTGATACCAATGCCTAAGTCAATACCAGTCACATTTGTGTATTCAATAAAGTTGTGGCCAAACTTTGCCCATTAACATTTAAACTAAATTCTATCTCCACTGTGTCTTTATTTCCATGAGGGATGGGTTTTGGGGCTCGGAGCACAACTCCTAAAATAAAGCTGATATGTAACTAAACATTCCTCAGAGTATGAATTAACTAATTTTCCATACACTTGGAGCTTAATTTTTCCAAGACACATGAGTAATGCATGCTAGAGATTTCTCAAGACGTTAAATGAATGGAGTTTTCAGTGCTAAACTATTATTAGCATAAATTTCGAAGGAGCTGAAGGGTCTTCTTTCCCCAGGGACAGCTTGTGTGTAAGTAATCCTTTGGCAGGCTCCAAGCTAACACAAGGAACCACCAAACCATATCTTGGTCTCATCAATAAAAGCTCCTACACATCATGCACAGCCTAAGCTGCATTCTCTTTACCTCTAAAATAAAGGTTATGCGTAGACAGCATCAAACTAAATGATACTACATTGGATGAACAACAAAAATAATCTACTTTAGGAAAACCACTTTGCAAAAACTCAATACTCTTTTTCATTACGAACAAGTAACCTGCATATGGTAGTGACATAAAAGGTCCTGCAAATAATGGTTTTCAATTGTGCGCATACACACACACACACACACACACACACACACACACACCTCCTATGCTGAAAACCCACTAAGCATTATGGATTAGAACTGCAACTTTTATAACCAAGACTAATGCCTGCAGTTGGAATGTTTTATCTTCTTATTTAGTTATATGCATTATGCTGCTTTTTCTGACTCAGATTTGCATGTAGGACTGTTTCTTTGAAAATTTGACCATGCAACACAGGATTTTAAATGAGGGAATGCAAATGATATGGAAAATACAAATGAATAAGGATTTTGTAACCAATATATCTCTGACCAGAGGACATTGGGGTGCTGCCCTCTGCGGACTGCCAAATTACAATTTATTTATTTTTTACTTAAAGCAAGAATCACAACATTGGAAACATATAGCACCGATTTAGTTCAGCAAGGAAAACAAATGCCATTGATGAAATGATAAGACATTTTAGGAATTAATTATTTGTGTAGCTCAATACATGCTGAATATTTCGTATTTCTTTTGCCATTCATTCCTAATGCCATCTATTTAACAGAAAGCATTTATCTTTGATTTCCATAGAACTAGGAATTAGAATCGAGATGCAATAGATGTGAGACAACATCTCCCTCAGTCTAAATGCTACCTTCTGCCTACTGAACCCTTGTAGATAACTTTACATAAAACTACATGCCCCAAAATGTATCCAATAAGCACATTTCATATTTATCGACATAATCTTCAGGTGATTTTAAAAATCCCGTTTCCCATCTGTCTAGAGAACGTTCTTTTATTCATTAAGTAGGCTCCCCATGGCCTCAAGCATGTTGGCTGAACTATATTTTTCTCTTCAATATTGGCATTTCTCCAGTGACCAACACTGAGATCTTGGGTTTCACGGCAATCTGATAGAACTCAAGTTACTAATGAATTCAAGCAGTGAGACTATAGCACACCAAAAAAATTAGCCCCTAAAAGGCAACACAGTACCACAGAGTGTTCCACAAGTGTTCGCTGCAGACTGAAAAAGTATTGCTGTAAAGAAAAAATGTGTACAGTATATAGACAAGATCAGGCACAGGCAAACTCGACCCTCCAGATGTTTTGGGACTACAACTCCCATCATCCCTAGCTAACAGGACCAGTGGTCAGGGATGATGGGAATTGTAGTCTCAAAACATCTGGAGGGCCAAGTTTGCCTATGCCTGGACAAGACAGACACCATTACGTGCAAATGCAGTCTGCTACAGATGGGGTCTGAAAGAGTGGGCCTTTGGAGATCTTCTTGCATCAGCCTAGGTGATGTGGAAAGCCTTCTACATAGTTTGACTATGGGTACAATTATGACTCTGTCAGATCACGGATAACCTGGATTCAGTAATCTATGCTCTGGTCACCTCCGCTCCCTTGTGCATCACTGAGCATCATGAAAGGGCAGAACGTTGCTCAGTTTATTATTGTTGCATTTTTACTGCCAGGGAGAGGGAGATGCACATCTGTTGTTGTTTTTTATTCAACCTCGGGTGCCAAAATATGTATTTGTATGTATATTTGCTGTTGCACCTGAGGCAACAAAATATATCATGTTGTCAATGCTAAGAGTGTATCTGTGTGTGCATGCACACACGTAAGTACATACAGTGGTGCCTCAGGTTAAGTACTTAATTCATTCCGGAGGTCCGTACTTAACCTGAAACTGTTCTTAACCTGAAGCACCACTTTACCTAATGGGGCCTCCTGCTGCTGCTGTGACGCTGGAGCACGATTTCTGGTCTCATCCTGAAGCAAAGTTCTTAACCCGAGGTAATATTTCTGGGTTAGCAGAGTCTGTAACCTGAAGCGTATGTAACCTGAAGCGTATGTAACCCGAGGTACCACTGTACATATGAACTGGGGGACTGGCTGCTTCTTTTGTTTGCTGCAGTGTTTAGCCAGTTGCAGATTTTTTGTTAAATGTACCACCATTTAAGTCCTTGAACATGTTTTTGAAGGCCCTGCTGCTTTTTATACAGCAACTGAGAAACTGGGGGACCTGACCAAATCAAATCAAATCATCATCATTTTTTTAATGATCAGGAAAAATTGACCATGAGGCTGCTGAGAGATGTACTCCAATGACATATGAAGGACCACAGGTTCTCCATAGCTGGTTAGTCTTAAGTGCTACTTCTCTCTTTGCTAGCAGACATGGAAAAACAATTCTCTCCCCTATAAAGTCTTGGGTTCCATGATTACTGCACATGGTGACAGCAGTCACGAAATTAAAAGACGCCTGCTTCTTGGGAGAAAAGCAATGACAAACCTAGACAGCATCTTAAAAAGCAGAGACATCACCTTGCCGACAAAGGTCCGTATAGTAAAAGCTATGGTTTTCCCAGTAGCGATGTATGGAAGTGAGAGCTGGACCATCAAGAAGGCTGATCGCCAAAGAATTGATGCTTTTGAATTATGGTGCTGGAAGAGACTCTTGAGAGTTCCATGGACTGCAAGAAAAACAAATCTATCCATTCTTAATCAGCCCTGAGTGCTCACTGGAAGGACAGATCCTGAAGCTGAGGCTCCAATACTTTGGCCACCTCATGAGAAGAGAAGACTCCCTGGGAAAGACCCTGATGTTGGGAAAGATTGAGAGCACAAGGAGAAGAGGACGACAGAGGACGAGATGGTTGGACAGTGTTCTCGAAGTTACCAGCATGAGTTTGATCAAACTGCGGGAGGCAGTGGAAGACAGGAGTGTCTGGCGTGCTCTGGTCCATGGGGTCACGAAGAGTCGGACACGACTAAACAACAACAACAACAACAATAAAGTCCATGCAGATGTTTTCAGTGGCTGTACTCCTTTCACCGGTCTTTCTTCAGATATGGACTTCTTGTTCAGGGAAACTGAAACCCTTCTTTCTATATATGCTACCACACGCAGTGCTTGTTCCACACAAGGAACGGGATAAAAGAAACAGCTGAGAAACCCGATCAGAAAACAGAAAAAGAATGGAAGAAGTGAAGAACACTTCCCTGCTTAAGAGCAGGAATACCACTGGTTTCTACCTCCCTCCTCTTCAAGATGGAAGTGGAAAACAATACATAGAAAATATCTGCTCCCCGTTTTTGTTTGAGAGCTCATTAAAAGCGGAGGATTTGGGGGAGATTCTCCGGATCCACACACATTCCCCTCTGAAGGATAAAGCTCGCACTTCAGCAGAATATTCAGAATACTTCCCATCCATGAACACAAAGAGATCACAAACTACACATAGATACTGTAGATCTACAACTTTATAGGTTCAGACAACTTGCTGTTGTTTAGTCGTTTAGTCGTGTCCAACTCTTCGTGACCCCATGGACCAGAGCACGCCAGGCACTCCTGTCTTCCACTGCCTCCCACAGTTTGGTCAGACTCATGTTTGTAGCTTCGAGAACACTGTCCAACCATCTCGTCCTCTGTCGTCCCCTTCTCCTTGTGCCCTCCATCTTTCCTAACATCAGGGTCTTTTCCAGGGAGTCTTCTCTTCTCACGAGGTGGCTTCAGGATCTGTCCTTCCAGTGAGCACTCAGGGCTGATTTCCTTCAGAATGGATAGGTTTGATCTTCTTGCAGTCCATGGGACTCTCAAGAGTCTCCTCCAGCC